CCTGATTTAATTCAGAGTAGAAAATGGTTAACATTCATGACTGCAAACTCGAGGTTTGTTCTAATGATCCATGTGAACTGGGTTAACAGCAGATAACCATCAGGAAATGTGAAAGAGCTGATTGAATAGTCTTGCTGTTTATTTCAGCAGTTATACACTGGATTTGTCTTGGCAACACTAATAGTTTGTGAATAACATAGTGTAATGTGTTACTTTGCATGGTACTTTAGTTTTTTCCAGTAACAAGGACAAAACGCCAGTAATAAACTGGAATGTTGCTTGGTAAAGCTCGTTGGAGAGGTTAGTAAGTGGTGTTTTCTCAGTACTTTTTTGCTGTGTTCATGGACGTGAGGCTGACAACCATACAAAAACAAATCTACATCTGAGTTTTTAAAAAAACATCTGCATACCAAGCTAAAATGTCTTGAACTGTACATCTCAAACAGATGCACTTAGTGGCTTTGAGAAATGGAGTCCTTTCAGTTTAAATGACGTGATTTAAGAATTTTCCAGCCATTTACTGAAGAATGTGAGTGAGCATGTCTCGCAGGTTTTAAGCTTTTAAAATACGCTGTGTTTTGGTAGTCCGCAACAAGTGCAACAGTTTGGCAAGAGGGTTTGTTGTGGGTGTAAAATTAGATTTAGGCAGCACTGCATCTTTTTGTTCTTTTTTGTGTAACATTGACATGGGGGAAAAAATCCAGGCTTGTACATCAGAATAGCTTGTTAGTGCATTTTGCACAGGATTACCACCACAAATTAAGAATATCCACTAGCCATCTGTCGTGTTTCATTTGTGCATCAACAAATGAAGATATTTTAAGAAACGTTGCGTATGTCTCTAATCAGTGATAGGAGGCACTTAAATAGTGGAAAAGCAACTTTTGTCCTCTGAAGCCTTAGTATATAAATGCTACCCAAAGTCCTTGCATACCCTTGAGCTTCTCTGTAGGCTGTTCAGTATTCCCTGCAAAGCGTTATCAGTCTTATCTCTATGTAAACTAGGTAATCACTACTGCAGAGATTATATGCTGTGTATCCAGCACTTGGAGCACCTAGCAGAAGAGGCAAAGACATGTTTAAGGAGGCAGGATTTTCATTTTTCAGTTTTCGTGCTGTTACTGCTCTTGAAGTTCTTGGTGGTTTACTGCCCTGAGTCACTGTACAGTGACGATCCAGCTAACCTAAATTCCTGCCCCATCTTTGTGAGGAGCCTGCAGGTGTATGGACAAGGAGGAATTGGTTCAAATTACATATGCAGGTTATTTAATTTGATGTTAAAGGGCCATGGAAGGGTTTATTCATCAAAATTCATCTTGATGCCGATCAAGTTCAGTTTGCCATAGGAATAAAAACATGTTTAACAGGACTTCGACTCTAATTGTTGAAAATTCCCTGAGATAATGACAGTCAGCTGTTAGGAGGAATATGTGAAGTTTTGAGGATATCAAGATTTTTTTTGCTTTATTTGTGAAAGGTGGAACTATGAATATTGGAATTCTAGACCACTACAGGTAGTTTGTAATGTATTAAGTGTTCGTCTTGGGTTTAACGTAACCTAATTGGCAGGGTGCAGATCCCAGTGCTCTGTTACAATTTTACTTCAAGCTCAGGCAAGCTGTGAAATATTTCTGTGGTTAGAGGGACACTTATGAAAAAGCTGTCTGTTGGTAGAGCTTTGCCGAGTCCTCTCCCCACAGTTATTCACAGACCCTTCGGTGTTTGATGTGCTAGTTTATCATTGCAATTAAGGCCTAAAAAGGGGAGAAGGAGAGGGGAGAGGAGCTGCAGCAGGGTTAGAAAGCGCCCACACGAAAGAATCCCAGAGCATGTGTAGACTTTTCTTTTCAGCCCTTCTGAGGGGCGCCCGATGAGTCAGTTCAGCCCTACGTAATAGAAATCCGCATTGCTTTCCCCCGCTCTTCCTCCAGAATCTCAGACCTAGAAGGGCAGGAGAAGTCGGTCCGTTGTATTGCGTCTGCCCTGCTGTGCCCAGCGCGCCGGGGGGCCGCAGCCCTTTCTTCTTTCCTTGCCCTGCAAAACAAAGTCCCAGCGGCCCCGCAGCTTACGTGTGCCGGCACGAAGGCTCGGCTTCCTCCGCCTGCCGGGTCGCATTCCACAGCTGACGGCCCGGCGCAGCGCGAAAGGAAGCAGCTCACTGCAGAAACGAGACGCAGACGGAGCTCCTGCAGGCAGAATGTGACGCTGGTGCAGGCGCCTGCCCTCTCCCCTGTATCCTGCTATTTTAAATCTTGATTCTGCAATACCTCGGGATCGAGCGGCTAGTCGTCTGCAGTTGATTTGTGTGGGCAGCTGCTGGAAAGATCCCCCCCCGCCGCCACCGCCCCCACCCCCTTCCTTGTAGCCTGTGTTGTAGCTTCTCTCTGGGGCCCCCCACTACAGGCTGCAGGAGGAGTTGGCAAGCCTTGCTCTTGGAGCAGTAAAATGACACCATGCTTCTCCTCCATTTTCTAATGAAATCTCCCGAGTGGGAAAGCAACAGAAGTTGGAAACGAAGCGTCGGCCTTTCCAAACTTATTCCTGAAACCCGCGAGCGGGCTGGGCAGGAGGAGGAGGAAGAGGAGGTGGGAAAACGGCTGATGCCATGCGATTTCCCCCCGGCTGTCGTTTGTCGCTTTTCTCCTCCCTTGTGCAGGTTTGTTGACGAGCCGTGCGCGTGTCGTCCGTCGCTTGCTCATAGTCCCGCGAGGCGCTCTGGCCGGACGGGCGCTGCGTAGCCGAGCTAAAGTGTTTAAAAGTTTAAAAAGACTCGGGGAAGCCTGGGCGGGCTGTGTGACGTGCGCGGAACAAGCAGAGCAGTTGCTTTAAAAAAAAGCGTCAGAATCGCGCTTGGTATGGCGATGGATCTGGCTGGAGGGAACCTGTCGGGAAAGGTCACGGTTTTTCACTGCAGCGTGTGGGTCCCCAGGTTTGCATTGCAGCTGATCTTTTTTTTTTTTAAACGTCGGCATTAATTACTGTGCTGTGAAACGTGCTGAAATTATCGAGGGGGGAAAAAAAGCCAGAGGGGTCTCCTTTTCGTTCCGGCGGTGTGCAGTCGATGAGGGGCTTGGGAGATGAAAGGGAAATCTCTGATGAGGAATAGCTAGGGTCATGACTCTTTGCTGCCATAATTAGTGTCTGTGTACTTTATTTCATACCAGGCAGACCGCAGTGGCACTGCAAGAGAATGAGGGTTCAAGGCTCAAAAGGACAAGTGCCCTTGCACGGGCTTATCACAAACAGTAGTATACTTTCTGATACAGAACCCTGCAGAGAGAAAAAAAAAAAGAGAAGGGTTTTGCTCACATGGTGTCTGGCTCTTTCAGAATGAAAATTGAAGTAGGACTCTTGTGAAATCAGCTGTTTTCGACAGGTGACGAATTTGTCCTTTCGTGTAAACCTGAAACAAGTTACATGCATACAGAAAAGCCACAAGAAAGGAGTTTAATGAGTAAAATGTAGCAGCAGAGTTAATTCAGTTCGCTGAGATTATGTAATCAATTATGCTTTTTTTGCTTGTAGCAACTGTTTAACATCCTTAAATCAGTCCTTCATTCAAATATTTCGGTAGGGCAGGAGGAGTCAAGTGCTCAGAACACTTCATCAGATTTGACTGTATTAGGATCTGTTTACATAGCATCGTCCTGCAGTTTCTGATCTATTTTTTCGGTGTTAACTTATTTAACTCTCTTCCCAATTTTTATTCACATTTGTCTTTTTATATTTTCAATTTGTTCAAACCCTTTTGAAGTAGGCTCTGTCTATTTAAGATTTTTTTTTTTCCAAATGTAGAGTGTTTTGGAAACTTGTCTAAAGGCGAATTTTAAGATCTCAACCCTTTTGAAGTAATTAATGAGGTCTGTCATTTCCAAAACAAGCCAGTGGCAATCGACATGCCTTTCTGCATACGTAACCTTTTTTAAAAAAACCATTCCACTTCTGTAGAGGCCTGAGCTGGAGGTGCCTTTCCCCCCTCAACACTATCTCAGCACTGAATCAAAATGTTCGTTTTGTAACTGCTCCTTTTTTTTTTTTAGGGAGCGAAACAAAATTAAAAAGAAAGTTCTGGGCCGCCTGTCTGCGGCTGACCTATTGCTTTCTATCCAAAGAGGTCCTGTTGCTATGGAGAGAACTAGTTCTTTGCCAGAGCCTGTTATATAAATGGACACTCCAGATTTTTGCTTTAATACGGTGCACACTTGTCATCAAACTGTTCTGGGGCTGTACATTATTAGTGTCGGGTTGGAATTGACAGATTATTGATGTGAAGCATGTAGCATCCCGCATTTTGTATTTGCTGGCTTGGCACCTAATAATGGCTTTAACGTTGGAAGGGGGGTTGTGCTGCAGTGGTCCCAACAGAACAACTGGTTTGCTTCCTGTTGGTTTTTCTAATTAAAGCAAACCCCTTTGCAGTCTCTGTGCTCTGGAGCTGATGTTTGTCTGGGCCGTTTTGCTGCCTGCTGGTTGTCACTCTCCATTCATCTGTGAAATTGAGTAGAATTAGGGCACTGCTGTGGCAGAGGGTGGGGGTGTAGAGGCTAGTGTTAGCTTGCAGTAGCAGCCTGTAATAAATCCGCATTTTCTGTGTCCTTGAAACCGATACTGCTTTTCTGTGTCTGTGCGTTTTCCATTGCAATGAAAGCTCTTGTGATACAGCAGCGTTGGGTTTCTCCTGGCACGCAAGCCACTCGTGCTCATGTCCGATTCCTGTTTTCCTAGCTCAAGAGTGATGGAAACGCTGTCTTAATTTGGCAAAATAATGTTGAGCATTGGATGTTTAACTGCATAGAGAGAAGTCATTAAAAAAATTGTCAATGGTAAAATCTTTCAGTCTAAACTTTTCAGTTTTACTGGTAATGCTGGCTAGGAAGTGCAGTTCAATAAAAGACCCAGGCTACAGGATGTCTCGGTAAATAGCGGTATAAAACAATGCCCGTTTTTGACTTTTGAATGTCTGGCTCAGTCGTTTTTTTTTTCTCCCCCCTTGGTTCCAGTGCCAGAACATATCAAGTCCAGTTTAAGCCAGCCTCAGCCTGCCAACCCGAACAGCGGCACTTCCACCGTAACCAGCACCGTCAGCAATGCCAAGCGGGCCCCAGCCAGCAGCCAGCCGCAAGCCCCGCCTCGATACCCGCCCCGCGAAGTTCCGCCCCGTTTCCGCCAGCACGAGCAGAAGCAGCTGCTGAGGCGGGGTCAGCCTCTCCCTGTCCTTGCTGCCACCCTGGGAACCAGAGCGCAGCCCTCCTCCGGCCAGCCAGGGGGCGCTCCGCCAGCCAGTGAGGGGTCGCTGCAGAACGGCACCAAGGCCCACCACCCAGGTAGGGTCCCTCCAGCCTAGTCGGCAACAGCCCCCCAGCTGCACACCAAAAAAAAAAACCACGTCTGCTTGCGAGCGTTGACCGAGCTTCCGGGCTATGCAGTTCAGTCAAGCACAGTACCAGCCTCAAACCTCATAAGCCAGTCTGTTAGAAAAGAAAAGGCTAACATCAGCCTTTGCAATGATCACATCAGTTTTCCGCCAGGCAGACCTTGATTCTGCTAAACTCACAGAAGCGTCTGCCAAGCAAGACCTGCTGCACCTTCTTCGAGTTATTCTGCTGCAACTACAGGAGTACACACGAGCTAAGAGGAAGTAGGTTTACACAAGCCCACTGGTAAGAGTAGGTGCTACCGAAGCCTTGCATAACGCATGCTGACTGCCATCTTCATAAGCCTGAAAGAGCTCAGTCGTATTAATGTCATTACAGAAGGTGAACACCGTTTTGCAAGGTGGCACAGAGTCATGCACGCACCTTGTTCAGCACGATGTGCACAGGCTGTACCTGATTCTTACTTCACAGGGAACTGGCTTTTAAAATGCGTTACAAGGCTTAAAATAAACATCCTGAAAATAGACCTGCAGAAGGACAGCACATCGGTCTTGCACAACTTTGCTGGTGGTTTTGTAAATCGTTCAGTTACATCTTCACAAAATGGGAACAGGCGGAGATGAAGCAAGGTTTGTGTGGCTTAGAGAGCTTGGAGAGTTTTAGGTATGCTTTATTTCTCCCCCCCCAAGTCATCCTTTGCTCTCCTGAACCCCGTTTCAACTATTCCCCCACACACAGGAGAGCAGACTGCCAGGAACATTGAGCTTTCTGCTGAAGTGGGGAAAACGGGAAGGTCTCAAACAGTACATGAAAGCACTGAAGTGAAAAAAGAGTCCTTAAATGTGCAAAGCTCTAAATGTTTTTCTGTATTAACAGGAGAATGAAAGTCGTAATGATTGATTGATAGGATGTTGAGCTTGGAAAAGAATTTAGTTTTGAAAATGCACAGTTTCTCTGTCCATTTGGTACTTAAATGTTTCATTGCTTGGCGCTTTGCAGAAGCCTTGTGTATCAATGTTTTGTGTATTGCTAAATTGAATCATGGAATGAATTGTACAGGAGGCAGGCTTTTAAGTATGAACTTCTAGATACTGTTAAGTGTGTGCTAACCACAGTGGGTAACGGATTTGTACTGCGGTGTGTATTATAAGATCTGTATCTAGCGGAGTGGGAGGGGCACGTGTTTTGCAGGTGTGCCCTTGTTGCTTGAAAATGTTATTGCGTATAATTTATTATAACAAAACTGACTTGCAAACTAAGAACGTCTTATCCACTGTTTATAATACGGTAAGTAACAGTCGTTTTTTACAGCGGTTCTCCCATGGACCATTTTTGCAGGGAAATGCACATTTAGAAGGGTGGACCCTGTGCTGGATAGCATGTTATTACTAATGTTGGTAAACACAGGGTCATGAACTTTAACCCCTGTGAACTCAGTTTTCTTAGCAGGCTGGTCAGAACAGCTCTTTCTTTTTCACTCACTCTCATATCTCTCTTCTTGTGGTCTTGCTTTTTTTTGTTTCGTAGGCATGCCTCCCATACGGGATTTGGTCAGCCACTCCCCTAACCAGACAGGTGATTACAATTTTTTTACCCCACTCTGGTTTCTTGGTGTCCCAGTGGACTTTAAATTGTTCTGAACAGGTTTATGCAATGTGCTAGGTGGCAAAAAAAGTCACTTGAATTTGCAAGCTTTTGCTGTATTTTCATATTTTGATTAGATGAAGGGAGTGATTTTTTTTTTTTTTGAAGCCATGGGCCTGGTAGGAAGCTTGAAATTTGTCGTCACATTTTGATTACTGATCAGGAATGACCAGGTAGTTTCATTGTTAAGCAAAAATTCTTGATTACTAGATATTTTGGATGTCTTTTCATCTTCCCCCCCAGTTTTGTATTGGGGAAGCACTTGAAATGTAAAAGTTTATTCATCCAGTTACAAGAGGGTAATCACCATGTTATGAAGTCCTGTAAAGAGTGAGCTGTGGGTGTAATAAACAGGAGCCAGTCAGCTTTGCAACTGGATACATATTCAGTACATGACTAGAAAGGTTTTTGCCCCATTTAAGGTGGAACAGTGACAGTCTTGTGTGAGCAAGCCCCTTACCATATGCTTAACAATATATCCAATACAGTGCAGAATCTAGATATTCATGAAATTTGGCTTTGGTAAACCTTAAGTGTACTGATTTTTAGTTTTAGTTATTGTGGCAGAATCAGTGTTTCAGAGCCCTGAGCTTTCACTTTCTGTATGTTTTTTTGTATTTCAACAGTCTATCCTCTTGTGTATGGCAGTAGTCAAATCAAGTGACTTTGATACGAGGGTGATGGCTGCTCACACCATTGTGCTTTGCCTTTGGTCTTACTTTGCTTGATCTCATTCACTTAAAAAAATTCAGATTTTCCATCTCCGCTGCTGCTATGCTGCATGCTTTTTTTCTGTAACTTTGCTTGTGCGGTTCTGAGCCCAGTACTTCACAAATACAGTACTCCGGCATCTGCTCCAGCTTTGACACTTCATACTTTTTTATTCTGAAATGTCTTTGGCAGTGTTATGTTGAGGCATCATTCTGGAACCTCACAAACAATGTGGCAATAGAAGTATTCATGCGAAGGGTACTGTTATTTCCAAATGCATATTCACAATATTGTGTGCTGTAAAAAAAAAAAAGCCAGTTATCTCCTACTTACCACTCTCTGTAAATATTTATATTTGAAACAGCGGTACTGTAATGAATGAAGGAATAGTTTCAGAACACAGCTTGGAATGACTCAAGAGCGCTGTTGTGAGAAAGTACCTGGGGATAAATGGGACTCTAAAGGGTGAAAATGAACAACTGTTATAAGGCTCAGATAATGTGCATAATGCAGCCAAGTGATCCGGTTTTGATTGCTTGTAGATCGAGTATGTCTATCGAAAGGGCAGAAGGTGTAGGACCTGGATTGTTTAAATAAATCTCTGCGGGGGTCTTCTCGTTGGATTACCCTGAGTGCTTCCTTGCTCCTGCTTTACGTGGGTCAGAGTTGGTGTTTACAGGGTTAATATTTGATGTGCCCCTCAGCGCTCTTTATCTTTCCTGCAAGTGGGTGCCCTGTTGTGTAGAAGGGATACAGGGGCTGCACTGTCGGTTTAGTGTTCAGCGCCCTCTGCCGTGCAGTACTGGAGCCTGCCGTGCGTGCTGTACACCGTGACTGGAATAGTTAAACACTTTTTCTGGAAGACAAAAGGAAACAAGAAACCCGAACAGCACAGGAAACATCAGCACTGCTGTAACAGCGCAACCGGACTACTGCCAAGACCGAGTGCATTTGTGCTAGTCTGTTTTATAATGGAATTGTTTTTGATTTGTTTTGCTCTCCGCAGCCTTATGCCATTCACATACTTGAACTGAAATCAAAAGCTTCTACAAACGCTAATTTCATAGCAAAATGTTCAGCATACTTCAAAGCATTTATCCAACAGCATGTGAGTACAGCAGGCGTATGTCCGATGATAGAGAAGGTCTGTTCCGTTTTGGCAGCAGTCCTCCCCTCTGCCTTTTTCTGGGACGTCTGCAGAAAAGCTTGCGCATTGCTGTTTGGTTACTGTTGCTGTGATTTCTATTGGCAGCGTTTCAGTATCGACTTGTGTGCACTGGTGCAGGCTGCAGTTCACCTTTCTTTTTAAAAAAAAAAACTGAGCATGAAATAAAAGCTCAGGGAAAAAAGCAGTCAAGCCTGTTTTTTGTAGTGTTTTGGAGAAATATTGATTAAAAGAGGAATCTCGTGTGCCCGTGTGCTTTTGTCAAGATGCGTCCCTCGCCCTAGACTGGAAGGGAGACGAATCTGAGACTTGGCAAGCGAACAAGAGTTCTTAAGGGAGTCTTGGCAGCCATCTTGCAGTGCAGTTGGAAAGCGCAGTCTAGCAGAAATATGGAAGTTTAATTTCAGGTCGGTGCCGGAGACAGAGAGCGAGACGGGAGTGTTTGCGAAGATGCCGATGAGGGTGAATGGGTGGGGGTGGTGGGGGCTAGCAGTTGGCGTGGGGGTCACCCCAGCAGTGGAGTGAGAGGAGAACCCAGATGAGGAAAGAAAAGGGGGGAAAAACACTCCTTGGCTGCTGTACCCTTTTTTCTTCCCTTTCCGCGCACTGCTGGGCTCATGCCGCTGGTACAAAATGGCGACAGCTGCGTTGCGATGGGGAGGGCTGCGCTTTTGGCTGGCACGTTTTGGGCTCCTGCAGGACAGGGTACGGGGGCCGAGGGCTGGGGATGGGAGGCGTGCGTGTGGGCAGCCCTGTCCTGTGGATCTGCAGAAGTACGCTGACCAGAGCACAGTGGAAGCAGGAATATCCTTTAGAAAGAGAACCTGCACCCTGCCCTGCTGGCTGTTTGCAGCTCCGAGTCTGGTGATGTTTTGTTTTAAGTGCACTATGGGTTTAATTGGCGTTACGGTCTGTGTGCCATCCGCAGCGGTTGTTTTTGGGCAGAGGGGTGTGTCAGCGCTGTCTTGTCTGTAAATTTAGTTAAAGAATGGACACATTTTATTTTCCTATGGAATGGAGATATTAGAAGTTTGTTGGATGGAGAAATACAACTTGACATCTTTTGAGCACTCTGAAGCCTTATTGTACAACGCACAACCTTGGAGGGAAATGATCAAATTATTTTATCAAACCTGCAAAGACCAATCGAATAGTGTTGCAGTGTTATTCTTCAAGTTCTGTAGGATTAAAATGCAGTTCTGTTTTCTCTTCAGTTTAAATGGCGTTTTCTTATTAAACATTTAATTCCTCATTACACAGTCTTGTTTGTTTGTAGTCTTTTTCTTCTACTGTTTATAATGCTAAGAATGATACATTTTTTCATAAATAAAGGGTGAGCCAGGAATTCATAAAAATGAATTCAACAGTCTTTCCCCAGTCCCACTCGGTACTGAAAGAACTGTCCTCCCATACGTGCCATTACTCAATGCCGGACATTTCCTAAAATCTAAATTACGAATAACGCAGTATGTTGGGCTTGTGTCGTTACTCTGGCTTTCATTTGAATTCGAGGTCGGGTTTCCTTCAGAGACGCCCTGGATGTAAGTATAAAGGAAGGTTCAGTCTTGGCTGGAATTAACGTGCTTTTCTATTTCTGTCGCTCCTCAGATTTGAATCGCAGTGGTCTGGGATCTCATTATGAAAATTCCCACTGGGGTTCCGGCTCAACTGGCAGCGATTCGAACACCAACTGGGACAAAGTCATCGTAGACGGCTGCGACAAGGAAGCCTGGCCTTCTATCACTGGTAGCGACCCAGAGTTAGCCTCAGAATGTATGGACACTGACTCTGCCTCAAGCTCTGGGTCTGAGAAAAACCTTAGTATAATGGCTTCTGGGAACACTGGTGGTGACGGCGATGGCAGTAGGCACAGCAGTGGACATGGTTCTCATTTTATGGTTGCAAATGGCAGCAATAACGTGGGCAATGGGAGTATTAAAGGGCCATGGGGCTCATCCTCTGGCTCAATGCTAAGCACATGTCAAGGCCCCGGGGAGAATCCCAACAGCAAGCTAACAGAAAGTAGCCATGGTAAATTAAACGCATGGGGTACCCTAGGTTCCTCAACCAATGGAGGTAATCCAAGCACTTTGAACCCAAATGCCAACCATGGTGCCTGGCCTGTTTTGGAAAACAGTGGGCATAATCAGCACGGGTCTGTGGGCAACGGAAATGGCAACACCAGTATCCAACGTAGCACCATAGGTCAGACGCCTGGCAGTCAGAGTATTAACTCTAAGGGGGGTGTCTCCACCCATGCATCCTGGGGCAGCCTCCAGGACAACACCCCCGAGTCTGAAGTCAATGGTACAAGTAAGGTTTCGTTAAGCGGGCAACCTCAAAACCTTAACACTGAAATGAATGGACCAAATAACACTACTAACTTGATGACCTCTAGTTTACCAAACTCTACTGGTTCAATGCAGATGAACGAACTGCCTACAGGGCACCGAGCCTGGCGTGTGGGCACAGGGAGCTCCACTCAGCTCCAGGCCTCTTCAGTTTCTAATGGCACTTCCATTTCTCAGCAAGGCAACAGCGAGGGAATGAATGGTACGGCATGGGGAGCTCCACCAGGCACTAACTATTCTGGAGACAAATGCCCAGTTCCTAAAGGCCAAGCTGTGGGTGACACTGTGAATGCAACTCTAATGCAGTCTGGGATTAACGGATCAGCTGCAGGCGCTGCTTCTTTTAAGAATAATAATAACGGGGTGGGGGGTCGTGGAGGGGGGTGGGATTCAGGGGCGGCTTGGGGAGCAGGGAATGGTGTTGGCCCTGTGGGGATCCCTCGCCCCTGGGGGAGCGCCTCCTCGTCGTCCTCATCTTCCTCCTCCTCCTCCTCTTCAAACACTGGCACTAAGGTCTCCAAGGGAGAGTGGAACAGCCTGCCCAACAACAATCAGCATTCCAACGACGGCGGAAATGGGAGCAGGAAGGGAACAAACGGCTGGAAGTCTCTGGAGGACGATGCTCTAGGGGTCGGGGGCAGCAACGGGCAGGCACCCCAATCGAGCGAGCAGGGCGGCATGTGGGCCAAGTCGGGTGGCAGCGAAGGCAGCGGTGAAAGCACGGGCAGCCGCAGCGACAGAATGAGCGGAGATGCGCCCCGTGGTCGAGACCGCCGAAAGGCAAACCCCCAGGGGCCGGTACAGAACGTGATCTCCAGGTCCGACCTGGACCCCCGTGTCCTGTCCAACACGGGCTGGGGCCAGACCCCAATCCGACAGAACACCGCCTGGGACATCGAGGCCACCTCGTGCAACGACAAAAAGACTGACAACGGGACGGAGGCGTGGGGTGGCTCCGTCTCCCAGGCATCTGACTCAGGGGGATGGGGGGACGGGCCCAGCGCCAACAGCAACGATACCTCATCAGTATCTGGGTGGGCCGATCCAAAGCCTGCCCCTGGGTGGGGAGACACCAAAGGCTCTAGTGGCCAAGGGGGGTGGGAGGACAATTCTGCTGCTACGGGAGTGGGCAAGAGCAATCAGTCTTGGGGAGGTAGCAAAGAAGACAAGTCTTCTACGTGGAGTGATGCACAAAAGGTCAAACAGGGATGGATGGAAGGACAGAAATCTAACCAGGGTTGGGGGACTCCTTCTGGAGCGGGGTGGGGAGGAGATGTTCCACGGGGGAACCACTGGGGCGACCCTCCCAAGTCAGGTTCAGGCGGCTGGGACAGTGACAGCGACCGCTCGGGATCTGGCTGGAGCGAGACGGGCCGCGCCGGCGGTGGCAACACCTGGAGGGGCAGCGGAGGGGGCAACTCTCCCAATACCGCAGGACCATCTGGCTGGGGAGATCCTAATAAGGCTAACAATCAGGGCCAGGGATGGGGGGAACCTCCCAAACCCAGCCATCCTGCCCAGGGCTGGGGCGATACCGGCAAGCCCCGCAACTCCCCCGACTGGAACAAGCCGCAGGATGCGACAGCAGGGCCACCCTCTTCCTGGGGCACTGGTACCTCACAGCCAGGGCCCTCTACCAACAACAAGCCATCGGGTTGGCTTGGGGGGCCCATCCCGGCCCCCCCAAAAGAGGAGGAGTCAACGGGTTGGGAGGAGCCCTCCCCAGAGTCGATCAGGCGCAAGATGGAGATTGATGATGGCACCTCAGCCTGGGGGGACCCCAGCAAGTACAAGTACAACAATGTGAACATGTGGAACAAGAACAGCATTGCTGACCAGGAAACACAAGCCTCATCACAGCAACATCCCCCACAGCCTCTACCGCCACCAAGTGCCATACCCAGCAAGGAAAAGGGTAAGTGACTCAGCGTCTTCTGCGCTTTCATCTCTAGGCTTTTGCTTTGTGAAGATTTATTGGCCTGTGACTAATTCCTTTTAACTTATTAGTTGAGCTTGTTTTAAGCGGCTAACCCTGACTGTTTGGAGCCCAGCTCTGTGCTGGAGGTAGAATGTTTCTCAATAGGAAAGCGGGGCATTTCTGTACAACCAGCCCTTTTAACTATTGATGTTACCATGCACCAGAAATGCCCCACACCTTATCCAAATAAACTTGGGTGTATTGCCCTGCTTCTCTAGACCCCTTTTGAGAAAGGGATTACATTATACCTGTGGAATTGTGAACTGAATCACTTCCCTGCAAAAGCTACACCTAGATACACAGAACACTTTGCCCAACGCTGATGGGGGGGGATCCCGATACTAGGAACCACACACCTGTTTGAAAGGATACAGGTGGTGTATGCCTTTAGAAAAAGTTCTGTCCAGGATAAAACCAGCGTGTTGGAAAATAGGCTGAAGAAAGTTCTGCCGCATTATTTCTTCCAGCCAAGCTGTGCAAGGGGAAAAACAGGCTTGAGTTTCATCATCGCTGATGCTGCAGTCATATGGTGGCAACTTGAGCAGCAGCCTACATAGCAGTGTTGCTATTTTTAAAGGGGAATTTAGAGCATGGGGGTTTTTACATTCAATGAAAGGAAGCTGTGTGTGACATAACAAAATGTTATGTCACTGTGAGTGGGGGGGGATGTTTGGATGTTCAGACTGGCATCAGAAAAGGAGCTACAATAATGTCCGACTTTGGAAAGGTTGAGATTTTAGTTATGTTTTTGAAGAGAAGCAGCAAAAATGTTTGGAAGAGCCTATATTCTATCTCCTGAAGCAGAAGTGCCCATTTCGTGTGTGCTGAAAATCTCTTATCAAGATTTAAAAAAAACATCATAGTACACTTTAATATCTTGCAAAATTGAGTCTTGAATGTTTGTCGTCAAGCTAACCCAACCTCTATGCCACAGGCTGGGGCGAGCCATACAGAGCACCGCCCAAAGCAGAGTCTTCATGGGGGGAGCCTACCGGTCCCCCCGTGGCTGTGGACAACGGCACGTCGGCCTGGGGCAAGCCCATGGACACGGGGACGAGCTGGGAGGAAGCTGGTGTGGAGAGCGCGGGCACAGGCAGCTGGAGCGGCCCCGCAGTGGGACAGCAGCCACCACATAAACCTGGTGAGTCCCTGTCCCTTCTGTTGTGGGGAGCGTAGCAAGTGGGGGGCCACCTTTCAACTGGGCAGGAGACATCCACAAACAGTTTGGGGAAAGACGGACAGGATTTAAGCAAATACTGCATGGGTGGGTGGACGACCACTGTCATCCTGCTCTGCTTAGCCTGTTCCAGGCTTCACTGCCTGTAGAAATCCTGTCATTTCCAGACATCCAGGAAGTGTTCTGTGCAGTTTTTCACCACACCCACACGAGTGTGGAGGTGCGTGCGTGTGTGAAGAGAACCCGCGTGTTCTTTTTGCCCTTTGTTAATTTTGCTGGTCAGTGACTTGTGTGCCGTCTGTGTCGTGATGCTAGGACCCAAACCTATGCAAGATGGCTGGTGTGGCGAAGAGATGCCCATGCCAAGTATGCGCCACTCGAGCTGGGAAGACGAGGAGGATGTCGAGATTGGGATGTGGAATAACACTCCTTCCCAAGAGATGAACCAGTCTGGGAACTGGCCTTCGTGCATGAAGAAGTTGCCTCCAAAGGTGAGTGGGGGTGGTGATTTCCCAATTCTTTTTCCCCGTTTCAGCAACCACGTATATGTGATCAGGAGTGACTAACATCTCAAAAGGCATTAGGTCTCAGAAGGCAGGAGTCCTTGTGGTACAGATTCTACATACAGACGTGATTACTGATCTGAAAAAGTGTATTGAAAACATTGGTGTTGCGTGACAATAAGGTATTATCCCTGAGCTGGGCATTCTTTTATTCAGGAGCTGTCAGCAGGAGAGCTGCTGTGAAAAATACTTAAGACCATTCTGAAAAGTAGAAAGAAATGTTCTGGTATTGGAGCAAACGGTGCTCGCTGGGAGGCTTCATCGCCGGTTTTCTTCAAAGTGGAATTAACCTCTGCTTATTCTTAAGCGCCTTTATAAGAAATTTAATGCCGTGTATGTAGTTCAATTTTAAAATGAGTCTCTTTCAAGGCAATTTTGTATTTTTCTCTAGGGCAATATTAAAGGAGGCAACAAGCAGGACGATGTATGGATCAATCAATTTGTGAAGCAATTTAACAATATTGGTTTCTCTGTAAGTATTGCTTTCAAGGTTTCAGTGTACAGTTGGTTAAGGCAAGCAAGTTAGTTAGTGGCAAACTTCACCCAGTCTTGCATGGGAGTAATTATTTTTTTTTGCCTTGATAAAATTATTATAATAGAAAAAGATCCTGTTTATCCCCAAGATCCTATAGCACTTTATATTCAGAGCTAATGGGACGTGTGTGAAAAGGAGAAAAGGAAACCGGCTAGGGCTCATTTTAATTTCATAAAGTCAATGGAAAGATTTACTGCCTCGGATATGAATGCATGGCTTCAGGCAAACGGAAATGTTTGGTTTTTTTTACAGAGGGAATCTTCAGACGAACCCTTGAAGAGCAATAAGATGGAATTGCCTGGAGGTGTGTTTTGTGTTTATTTACAGTTTTTTAAAATTAGGATTGACAGAGATGCTTATTATATAGCAGCAGTCCATACTTTTTAAACCGATTTATTGCATTGATTAAATGCTTGCAAAAAAATTGAAAGAGAGGGTAATTGTTACATATTAAACGTTGTATAAAGACGCATTTAGAAAATAGCTAAAAATATACTTTACGTGCAGTGTTAAGTCATCAGCTTGAGTTTTTGTTGCAATCTCTGTTGGGCTAGTTTATGCAGGTGTGGAATATTAAGGTTCTGCTGTTCGCAGGAATGTTACCTGACAAGCGCATGGATATGGATAAGCACGGTCTGAATATTGGAGAGTATAATGGTGTGATTGGAAAGAGCCCTGGCTCACGCCATCAGATTTCCAAAGAGTCTTCCATGGAGCGCAGTCCCTACTTTGATAAGGTGAGAACCAGGCGAATGAGACACAACCACAGAGCTTTCTCCCCTGTGGCACTGCTGCTGGAAATCCAAAGCTACATCAGGCTTCCTTCATTTGACCACAGCACCTTAGATATAGATTCAGTCTTCAAGTTAAGAGCTTTGCATGAAATGCTTAGCGGCTTTATTAGAGCTTGGGATAATACTGCAGATCAGAGGAATATTGTGTGTCCAGCCAATTGACACTGCTTGGTTGTGCAGCTGTCAATTTGCAGGTGTTTCTTGTGTTTCTTGTTCCTTGTTTTTTTCTACTTCTTAGGCTTCAGTGCTCCCTGACTTTAACAGATTAACGAAAGGTCAAAACATGATGCACCAGAGGCACAGAAGAGATCAAATTTAAGAGTGTTAATTTTAACATTGCAGCCCTGTTAATGTTATAACCATTGGAATAGCCTTTGTCACTATTGTTGACACAGGTTAACAACCAAGCATAGGGTATATTTGTTTTGTTGTATTATACTGAAATATTACCTGGGATGTGGTTGGGGGACACTGTAGCTTTTTGCATTAGTTCTTGGAGCTGATTATTCTAACTTGGATTTTCTTTCCTTTCTGCTCTGCTCTCTCTTCCCTGATGACACTGGGTTTTCATCTGGTATCTTAATACCCCTGCTCCTGACGCTGCTGTGCCTCTCTCTGCCTCTTTGCTTGCTGGTTGGTGCTCTGCAGCTATCTCTATCCCTGTCTGGTCAAGATGGCATTGTAGCAGAAGAGCCACAAAATGTACAGTTTTCATCTAATCAAAATATGAAGCTTCCCCCTTCAAACAATGCACTACCTAATCAGAGTCCTGGCTCTGTGTCGGGGCTGAGCCTCCAAAACTTGAATTCGGTCAGACAGGTGAGTTAAACAGGACGCGCGGCCTTTGGTTATAGGGAATCGGTAAATTGTTTAAAATGCATTAGGTCACCAAATAAAGCACATTTTAAGCGTTATAGCTGTGTATGTTATTTCAGTTGTTTTGGTGACCAGCTTCATTCTGTTACGTGCTTTCTAAGGGATAATTGTGAACCAGTTCGACATTTTGTTTCCTCTCGTGTGTTGTAGAATGTCAATCCCGGGTTCAGTGGCAGTAATGCAGCAGCACAAGCCAGGAGCACACAACAGCCTCCAGCACAACCTCTGAACTCATCTCAGCCTAATCTCCGCGCACAAGTGCCTCCTCCATTGCTTTCCCCTCAGGTAACTCCCATGGGCCCTCGGTAAAAATGTCAGTTGCAACACAAAAGTGGCCTCACTTCAAAGCGAGCTTGGGGCCGGTTCATTGTCCTTAATCTGAGTTTAATGACATTTCTCTTTTTCCTCAGGTTCCAGCATCATTGTTGAAATATCCTCCAAACAATGGAGGTCTGAACCCTCTGTTCGGGCCACAGCAGGTAGCTATGCTGAACCAGCTTTCCCAGCTCACCCAGCTCTCCCACATCTCTCAGCTGCAGGTGTGTAGAACGAGCCAGGCGGTTTAAGCATTGAGAAA